AAAGTCATCACAAAGGAACTAGCAGACTTTATGACTGCCAATAAAGTGATACAAGATAAACAACACGAATTTCTACCGAAGAGATCAGGCACCACAAATTTTTTGACAGAAGTAGATAAATGTATGAGAGCACTAGACAATAACGTAAACTTTGCAACAACCAACCAAGTTGATATTGTCTTAAGACTATAGAACGATATGGAAATACACAGTTGCGATGGAATAGAGCGTGATAGAAATATTACTTCGCATATTTGCCGCCGGTAAACTCTCACTCGTCGGACTATATACAGGGTGTCCCACTAAGGTCGACGAGGTACGTTATTATGGAAACCATAGACCTTACGGCATCGGGATTTTTTTCTTCATCACTAAATCGGCCCAGAGAAATTGATGGAAATTATTTTCAAGTTTCTAAGATGGCCGCTAGGGGGCGCAATCACGATGATATAACTAAAAATTCAAATTTTCTCGAACAATCGCTATATCAAGGTACTGTTTTAACAACAGAAATCAAAAGTTCGTTAATTTTTGCGCCAGTTTGCTTATTAGCCTTTTTTCGTATCTCCACTAATAAGGGTGGGGGAAGCTGGGGAAAAAATAGTTTTAAAAATTGCTGTATCTTCCATACCCCTTATCCAAACTCATTCAATTCGGGCTTATTCGAAAGAGAATTTCATTGTTATTAAGAGCACCACTTCGTTCGGGGTCGATAGTTCCTGCCGCGTCTTCTAGAGGTCGCTATTTAACCAAGATCCAGTTTTTTTTAATTTTCTGGAAAAATCCAAATGGCATGATATATTTTTTTAAAACTCTGCTTAAAGAGCAAAAAATTATCTACATTTTGGCGCAAACCGCAATCCGATATCTGCATTCGTTTTCAAGTTATTTGCAAATAACTATTTTAATCGAATATCTCCCTCCTGTCATTTTAAACCAATCAAAAAAACTCATTTTGTGGTCAAAAATTATTTTCAAGTGGAAAATTTTTATGACATGACATGAAAACAAAATAAAATACTCATAAATGTTAATAAATCAATAAAAATTTATTGTTTTGCTCAGTAAGGAAACATTCTTAAGACCACTCGTGCTTCTAATTTTTCCTGTCGAAAAATCTAAAAAACTCGTTTGCAAGTAATTTGTTTACCAAAATACTGGCGTGAATTTTTTTTATCTATGACTATGTGGAAGGTAGCACTTTACAGCACATGTGCGGTAAAGTACTTGAAATACAAAAATATTGACACTCGAAGCTGAAATTTTGTATCAACACATGCCGAAAGTGCCTTTACCGCTCTTGACGCCATGACAACTGCTGTCGCATGCGGTAAAGTATCACTTTCCGCACTTGTTACGTAAATACCTATTATAACGCTCGTACCTGTTATAGTTATTCACCTAACAAATGAGGAAAGTGATACTTTACGCGTACGCGACGCGAAGCGGAGTTCGGTCAAGCCGTTAAGGGCTTTACCGTACGCGACAGCAGTTGTCATGGAGTCAAGAGCGGTAAAGGCACTTTCGGCATGTGTTGGTACAAAATTTCGTGTCAATATTTTTGTATTTCAAGTACTTTACCGCACGTGTGCTGTAAAGTGCTACCTTCCACACACTCACAGATGAAAAAAATTCACGCCAGTATTTTGGTAAACAAATTACTTGCAAACGAGTTTTTTAGATTTTTCGACAGGAAAAATTAGAAGCACGAGTGGTCTTAAGAATGTTTCCTTACTGAGCAAAACAATAAATTTTTATTGATTTATTAACATTTATGAGTATTTTATTTTGTTTTCATGTCATGTCATAAAATTTTTCCACTTGAAAATAATTTTTGACCACAAAATGAGATTTTTTGATTGGTTTAAAATGACAGGAGGGAGATATTCGATTAAAATAGTTATTTGCAAATAACTTGAAAACGAATGCAGATATCGGATTGCGGTTTGCGCCAAAATGTAGATAATTTTTTGCTCTTTAAGCAGAGTTATAAAAAAATATATCATGCCATTTGGATTTTTCCAGAAAATTAGAAAAAACTAGATCTTGGTTAAACAGCGCCCTCTAGAAGACGCGGTGGGAACTATCGACCCCGAACGAAGTGGTGCTCTTAATAACAATGAAATTCTCTTTCGAATAAGCCCGAATTGAATGAGTTTGGATAAAGGGTATGGAAGATACGGCCATCTTAGAAACTTGAAAATATTTTCCATCAATTTCTCTTGGCCGATTTAGTGAAGAAAAAAAAATCCCGATACCGTAAGGCCTATGGTTTCCAAAATAACGTACCTCGTCGACCTTAGTGGGACACCTTGTATATGTACAGGTGGGGTAGTTAGGTAGTTATGAAAAAACTTGACAATTTTTGAATCTATACCATCAATTCCAGAAGAGGAGTTAGCTTTTGGAGAATCAATTTGTTTTATGATTTCATTTGTATTAGTTGGCATTAAAAATATTGATGAATGCGGTGTGAAATTAATTTTGGTAACATTTAAAGGCTTTTTAATTTTCTTAGACATTTCGAGACCTACATTTATGAAATAATGATTGTTACAGAAATTTGCGGTGTCTTTATAGTTATTAAATTTAACGTTGTTATTAGCAATTCCCAAGTTCGGATTCCCCTTTGATTTAATGTCACTTGTAGCTTGGGATATAACATTGTTTATCTTCTTCAGATTATTTCCACTATTTTCGATTTCCTTTTTGTAATAGTCGTGTTTGCGCTTCCGTATGATTTTGTTGAGAAAATTTCTGTGCTGTGCTGCAGTTGCTAATGATATACCAAAATACGAAAACCAAGTTTAATCGATTTCTAGGGATACTTGTGTACAAAATTATGAAAAGTCAATGCCCATTGTATTTGTGGCGTTATATACAGTGTGTCCATTTAAGTTCGCAGCATATGGGAAACTTTTTTACGAAAAAAAGTTATTATTTATAAAAGTTTCTGTTTCTTGAAAAAAATAATATTAAACTACCAAAACTTGAAATAGCATGTACAGGGTGGTCAAAAAATAGAAAAATATACAGGGTGTTTCCTAAGTACGGTTCGTAACTTCAGGATGTAATTCCTTACAATATTTTAAGAAAAAAAGTTCCAATAAACATGTGTCCGGAAATGCGTAGTTTCTGAGATACAGGGTGTCAGAGTTTTAGAAAAAATCGTTTTTTTTAGCTCAAAAATCCGTTTTCCATTTTTTTTTTCAAATTTGGCAGGTTTGTTTGTGATAACGAAAGGTATCTTTTGACTGTAATATGACTTGCATAATCTGAAAAAAATATCAAAGGTTTTAAAAAATAGGGATGTGCCATTTTTTTTTCTACTTTTACCAAAAAATCCTGTATTATTTTCTATTTTCTGACCACAACTTTTGAATGTCAAAGACTTGTCAAGCTATGTATGTGAAGTTGAATATCAACCGTACTTTCATTATTGTCAGACCAAGGACAAGGAGATGCCCAGCGTGCAAAACGAACACCTCACACCTGTACTAGTTAGCCAATCAAAAAGCATTGCCTCGAGTTGCGCGCGCATACGAGGTAAAAATAGATAGGTCTATTCTCTATATACTTTTAGAAATAAATAAATCTTATCTTGTACAACAAACAACAAATGTAATAAATTAGTCTATCATTGTGATAATAATTGTACCATATTCTAGTTATAAACGTTGTTCTATTCTATTCTATTCTACATAAAAAAATAGACTGAACAGAGAAATAATACCAACTAGTAAATTATGGACAATGAACCTCTATGCTCTATGCTCTATGAACTATTGCAGTGTCAGTCTAATGTATAGATTTTCTATTGTCAAATGAAAGGACAGTTTCAAAGGATATGCCGCTTACCTGTTCTGAACTACATATAATAATAATAATAATAATAATAATAATAATAATATAATAATAATAATTTTAAATTAAACTGCCGACCAATGCACGCGGTGTGGGTATATCGCATTCATAACTGATTATGTTCAATAGTAGTTTTCAATAAGAAAAGTAATGGGGAATATAAATACTTTTTGAAAAATCGATTTGAATGTTATTTTGGTTGGCAAAAAAATATTTACTAAGAATAATTAAAAGTTGAATTGAATACCGACTGAGACAGGAGAATGATGTTAATGTCCTTGTAGACGAAAATTACCCAAGATATCCTTTAAAGCTCGGGAGAACTGTAAAAAACATTTTTGGGACCTGAGGGTAAAGTAAGATTCTTGGTAAGATTACATACATAGTAGACGCAAAAACCGAAAATTCCATTCACACAAAACAAGACTTGGTAACAAAAGTGTGCTTAGGTAAATGAGAATAATTAGTAGTAAAAGGTTAGGGTAAATAATGTTACCTAATAGATTTATTGTCTATTCACAATCTGTAGTCCAAAGGTACAGGTAAAATTTATCTATCACCTTTTAATGCTATTTGATAGGAAAAGGTGATAAATTTACCTGTACCTTTGGACTACAGAGTGTGAAAAGGATATATATTATTTCCTTCATGGTATATATAATAAGTATTGTTCGTTCAATTAGAGCTTTCCTGGTCAAATAACTCAAATATAGTCTCTAATATCCTTATTAATTCAGTAACTAAAACATTGCATACACTTTAATTTCGCTGACAATACGAAAACTCCACACATGACTTCTGTAAAGTGAAAGTAGACCAATTTATTTCGTTCTAAATCATCATCGTGTATTCTAAGCTCCAAGTCAGTGAGCAATTTGCCTTCTAAAGCATATGGCGGATAAAAAACTGTGTTTTTTTTATCTTTTTGAAGAGATTTCAGGCTTTAAAAATAATTGATGAGACACTTTGAAATAATTATTTCTGCTGACTAATCATCAAATTATTATTGATTAGAATTTATTAAATAAATTGTGGTTTTGCATTGTAAGTAAATATCGGCTGACATTTTCTCCATTGCATTTATTAATTTAATAAAATATAACTCTTTATACTAAAAACATTATTTTTTTTTGCAGAAATCTGCTCCCAAACCGACTGAAGCAATAGCCAGTGTTGATCTCAATGAAAAAATAATCCAACAAGGCGATATTGTCAGGAATCTTAAGTCTCAAAAGGCGAATAAAAACGAAATTGATGTGGCCGTAAAACAATTATTAGCCCTTAAAGGTGACTATAAAAAAGCAACTGGTCAAGAGTGGAAACCAGGTGCAGTTGCTCCTAGCCAAGCTGTAAATCATCCTGAAGTTAATGGTATAGATTTGGGCAGTCAAGTGCAAGCTCAAGCGGACAAGGTAAATAAAATTACTTTTCAAAAAATGTTCAAATTAACATGCATCTCTTAGGTAAGAAAAGTGAAAAGTGATAAAGCTGATAAAGCCACTGTTGATGCCGAAGTCAAAAAACTTCTAGCTCTTAAAGCAGAATATAAAAAGCTTACCGGAAAAGACTGGGTTGCAGCGCCAGTTCAAAATTCATCCCCTGCTCAAGCGCCAAGTGACGCAAATACTGTTTCACAAAAAATCACCCACCAAGGTGATAAAGTACGAGATCTCAAAGCTCAAAAAGCTGATAAAGCCACTGTTGAAGCTGCAGTCAAAGTTCTTTTAGCCCTAAAAGCTGACTACAAATCTATAACTGGTCAAGAGTGGAAACCAGGCTCAGCACCAGCAGCTGTTGTCAAGACAGAACCAGTTTCACCAACGCCTGAATCTGAGGTCGATGTAAATACGATTTTGCAAAAAATTACCCAGCAAGGTGACAAAATACGTGACTTGAAATCGAAAAAAGCTGATAAGGCTACAATTGAAGGTGAAGTCAAGCTACTTTTAGCTTTAAAAGCTGAATATAAAACTTTAACTGGCCAAGAGTGGAAACCAGGCACAGTAGCTGCCACTCCAGTTTCATCAACCCCTATAGCTAGCAATGATGTAGATACAGTTTTACAAAGAATTGCTCAGCAAGGCGATAAGATTCGCGATTTGAAGTCTAAGAAAGCCGACAAAGCTACAGTTGAAAGTGAAGTTAAGTTACTTTTGGCTTTAAAATCTGAGTATAAAACTTTAACTGGTCAAGAGTGGAAACCAAATACTGTTCAGGTTAAACCAGGTACTGTTCATGTTAAACAAGAACTGGTAGCTGAGACGCTGTCTAGTATCGGAAATTCTTTGTTGGAACAAATTGCCAGTCAAGGGGATAAAGTGCGACAATTAAAAGCAGGTAGGTGACAATAAAGAAATTAAAACAAAATATATATTAAATTTTTTTTCAGCCAAAGCTGATAAGGCGACAATTGATGCCGCAGTGAAACTACTTTTAGAAGCCAAAGAATCTTTTAAAGTTGCTACAGGTAGAGATTGGAAACCAGGCATGAAACCTGAGGCTGTAAATGTTTCTGCAGCGGGTGGTGCTGGGGATGCTACCAAAGAAGCCATCACTGCTAAAGTAAATGCACAAGGAAATCTTGTAAGAGATTTGAAAACCAAAAAAGCTTCTAAACAAGAAATAGATGCAGCAGTGAAAACACTTTTAGAACTTAAGGTTGAATACAAAAATGTCACTGGGGAAGATTTTCCTGTGGCCGGTAGAGCACCAAGTAAACCTAAAGAATCGAAGCCTAAAGAAAAAGTAGTCAAACAAAAACAAGCCACGCAAGAAAAGAAAGTTGTAGATGTAGAAGAAGGAGGTTTAAAAAAACAAACCCGCTTAGGCCTAGAAGCTAAAAAAGAAGAATCCTTATCCGATTGGTATTCACAAGTAATCACCAAAGGTGAAATGATTGAATACTATGACGTTTCTGGATGTTATATCCTCAGGCCTTGGTCGTTTGCTATTTGGGAAGCCATCAAAGATTGGCTTGATAAGGAAATCAAAAGTTTGGGAGTGCAAAATTGTTACTTTCCCATATTTGTATCTAAAAGTGTTTTGGAGAAGGAGAAGGATCATATTGCTGATTTTGCTCCTGAGGTAATAAGCAGATATTGCAGGGGGAAAAATCACAAGCTTTTTGATAATTGATTTAATCTTGTCATAGTTTTGATGACTGATTTGCGGTCTTTTGTGATTGCTCATCTCGAAAGCTTGTGATGTTAACACCCCAAGTATTCAAAACTAATAATCATAAAATATTATTATAGGTAGCATGGGTAACAAAATCTGGAGACTCTGATTTGGCAGAACCCATTGCAGTACGTCCCACTTCTGAAACTGTCATGTATCCAGCTTATGCCAAATGGATTCAGTCCTATAGGGATTTGCCTATTAAGCTCAATCAATGGAATAATGTAGTTGTAAGTAAATAAATAGGATTGCTATAGAACGATTTTTCCTACATTTTGTCTTATATTAGAGATGGGAATTCAAACATCCTCAACCGTTCTTGAGGACGAGAGAATTTTTGTGGCAAGAAGGCCATACAGCATTTGCCGATAAAGATGAGGCTGATATTGAAGTTAAGACGATTTTGGGTAAGCATTAATTGCAATTAATTCATGTGCTGAAAAACTTAAATTTTCAGAACTCTACGCTCATATCTATGAAAAACTCTTGGCTATTCCTGTGGTAAGAGGCAGAAAAACTGAAAAAGAAAAATTTGCTGGTGGAGATTATACTTTAACCGTTGAAGCTTTCGTGTCTGCCAGTGGAAGAGGTATCCAAGGTGCCACCTCTCATCATTTAGGCCAAAACTTCTCCAAAATGTTCGATGTTATTTATGAAGACCCAGAAACCCAGCAAAAGAAATACGTTTTTCAGAATTCGTGGGGAATCACCACAAGAACAATTGGAGTGATGATTATGGTTCATGCAGACAACCAAGGGTTGGTACTTCCTCCTCAAGTTGCCTGTATACAAGCAGTATTAGTACCTTGCGGTATTACTGCTAGTTTAACAGAAGATGGCAAGAAAAAATTGCAAGAATCCTGCGATAGCTTGGAAAAGGATTTGAAACAAGCTGGAGTTAGAGCTTCGGGAGATTACCGAGATAATTATTCACCTGGCTGGAAGTTTAATCATTGGGAATTAAAAGTAGGTTGAAACATATATTGGGTGAACTTATTTTGGAGTTGTTTTTTTGCTTATTTTTAGGGGGTACCCATAAGAATTGAATTAGGGCCTAAAGATATTGAAAAGAATCAATTTGTTGCCGTACGGAGGGATACAGGAGAAAAGATTACTCTTCCAAGAGCTCAAGCTGTTGCTAAAATTCAAGAACTTCTTCAAGATATACATGATAACATGTATAAAAAGTAAGCAAAATTATTGGCTTGCCATTTTCTTGAAAATAATTATATGTTTTTTATAGGGCTCTCAATGATTTGGAAACTCACAAAGTTCTATTAACTGATTGGTCATTATTTGCTAAAAATTTAGATCAGAAGAAAATCATTTTGGCTCCATTCTGTGGAAATGTTGATTGTGAAGATAAAATCAAGGCTGATAGTGTCAGGTAATTTTGAACTCAAAATTTTATGTATGTAATTTTGATACAAAATTAAATATTTTTTAGAGAGGAAGATGCTGAACCAGGTGCTCCATCAATGGGAGCTAAAGCTTTATGTATACCTCTGACACAACCAGCTGAAATTAAATCCAGTGATAAATGTATTCATCCTGCTTGCACTCGTGCACCAAAATATTACACTTTGTTCGGCAGAAGCTACTAAAAATGTTCGTGTTTTTTTTTATGAAAATAACTCTTAAGTTTTATTTATGTTGATTAAACGTTTTGGATGAACAATGCTTTCAAGTATACGAAAGAAGTTTCATTTGGTTGTCCGATGGATCCAAAAAGTGATTATGTAAAAATGTCAACCAATGATGAAGTTCAAACATATAAATCATACTAATTAAAAGCATAAATTTGCAGGTTAAAAATTTTATTTATCATTTTTTCTTTAACAAAATAAATGAAGTTTATTTCCTCAAATACTTTATACAAATACAAATATTTACAGTTTAACATGATAATTTTCACATTTTTATGACAGAAAATAGTATCACACAGAGAAAAAATAATTTTTGTTAAATGGATAGGAAGATAATGTTAACGCAAATACAACATAAATAATAACTTGGCTGGATTATAAACACTCATGGGCGATTTTTTGTTACAATAAGTTAGGCGTATAAATAAATTCACAAAAAAAAAAACAGATGTAAGTATTTTCAGGGTCTGTATTCCAAACCCACGATTCGATAGTATCGTCTATCTATTTTATATGGACGATACTATCGAATCGTGGGTTGGGAGTCCGGGCCCAGGGTCTAAATCTTGTGAATAAACGATATGGAATATTAAAAACTGTCAGTCACAAGAACGTATGTACATTGTACCTACATACCTTTGACTTTTTTTGACTGAATACAGAAGAATTTTTCTGACAATAATAATTGCGATCAGAAAAATGGAAAGTTCTTACGTGGTACTTAACCTTAGACCACATACATTTTTTTTTTCAATGCAGCAACTTCATTTGCGCCAAACTTATTCGAAAATAAATAAAAATAACAAAATAAATAACAAAAATATTCTGAGTTAGAACCAGAAAAAAAAAATCGCCGCATTAGAGGGATTGTTATTTTAAAAATAACTGTATAACAAGCTAAAAATGTATAGTAACACGGTTATGTTGTATCTAAAACAATGGTGTTAGAATAGTACCTTAATGTACAAACGAAAATATATCTACATTATATACAAAGAGTCAAAGTGGTAGTCGTCCAACAAGCTTTCGGAGCTCATTCGCTGTCAGTCAAGTCGATGAAGACGAAGATTTTTCCATGAGACCTGAAATTAAACAATTTGTAAATTGGGAGGAATTTTGCATGAGGTACGATAAAATAAAATTTGGAAATCTTGACGCATAGACTCGAACTGCTGTATTTTTACTCGATCTCTTGGCAAACAATTCTTTTCTAGATGTCCCTAGGACGTAAACAAACTTATAATAAGCCACATGCTTCAGAATCACACCTACCTAACGCAATCTATACAATATTGATATTTCACAGATTTCTATATCGTCAGCAACTTCTATACAAGAATAGCATTATATTGATTAGGGGATTAATAAATGATATTTCACAACTCAATAAAGATTCAACTCATTTATTTCGCAATCTATTCAAATGGCAAATGCCACTATAATTTTCAACATGTTTTACCCAAACAAGCAAAAGGAAACATGAAGCTAAGCTTGGTCATCAACAATGATTTTCCTATTTTCTATTCTGTAATTGTGTCATTAGTGAAACTTACGTTCTTTATCATATCGTCTGACAGCCTCTTCTCTTTCGGCCGCATCAAAATACCACAACGTGATCGCGTACCTGGTGTCGAAAGCTGGTTGAACTTCGTGGGGATTTCGCCTATCCGACCAGAAGAATAGGAGACGGTCGAATATTGGCTCTATATCTGCAACCTAAAACAGGACTTATTAAAAAAAAAAACATGTTCTGTCTAGATATAATATAAAATATTCTAACGTAATGCAGAGGAAATTTATATCATTCTGAGTTCTTAGGCATGAGTGTCAAACGTCCCCCAAGGACTTTTTGAAACTGATAGTGTAGTTCTAGTTGGTTTATATCTTTAGAGCATACAGATATTTTTTGAAGTTTACCAGAAAGTATAAGATAAGAAATAATGTATGGAATATATTTTGCTTAATGATTGTACTCCAGCGACATAACACAAATGCTTTTCTTTTTTTCTATTTTGATCATAAAAGATAAGTAGGACACTTATTGCCAACAATAAAATAAATGCATTTCGAAACTGAACTCAATTCAAAAACAAGTCTATCCTTGAGACTGTCACATAAAAATTTACTTACTCTGTCCTCTCGCCATCCTTCGGGAAATATCCTGAGTAATCCTCCGCACGTGTGCACGTTCCAGTTGAGGTTGAGATAGTAAATGGCCGTAATGCATCTACCGTCTCTATTCGGATTGTCCACATGTTTCACGTAGTGAGCTCCCGAACCTGGATAACATGCTACCATAGCCTGAAAAAATACATAATTTTCATTATAGATCAACTTCCTTCTTAAAACCCAAATAATAGTTTTATTGAAGACTTAATAAAATGAGAACGGCGTAATGGTATAAAGCTGTACCCACTAAATCCATATTACACCTACAATAGACTATAAGTATGTCATTATTTCCTCTGGAAAAATTACTTTGTGCATAGATCAAGAGCAACTAATAATCACAATTTAAACTGTTCTTTGCTCTTGAATTGCTCTTAGCAAACTTCTCAATAAATTCAAGAGCCGGTAACAATCAAAATTTGAACTATAAGTGGCTCTTGATTCGCTGGATATTTTTTAAGAAGGAATCAATATCTGTTAATAATCAAAATTATGATCAGTAGTCCGAATTTTGATGATAAATCACACAAACGAATCAAGATTCTGTGAAAAACCACATTTGGACTATAAATATGTCATGACTGCCACTAGAAAAATTATCTTGCAGATCAAGAGCCGCTAGCAATTACAATTTGAACCATTTCCAGTTCTTGAATTGCATTTAGGAAATTTCTCAATTAATTCAAGAGATGGTTACAATCAAAATTTGGACTATAGGCGGCTCTTGAGTCGCTGGTCGCTGGATAATTTTTTTAGAAGGAATCAATATCCGTTAATAATCAAAACTATGATCAGTAGTCCGAATTTTGATGATAAATTACTTAAACTTATCAAGATTTTGTGAAAAACCACATTTGGACTATAGGTATGTCATGACTGCCACTAGAAAAATTACCTTGCAGATCAAGAGCCGCTAAAATTACAATTTGAACGATTTCTAGTTCTTGAATAGCTTTTAAGAAATTTCTCAATTAATTCAAGAGTTGGTTACAATCAAAATTTGGACTTTTGGCAGCTCTTGATTCGCTGGATAATTTTTCAAGAAGAAATTAATATCCGGTAATTATCAAAATTATGAACAGTAGTCCGAATTTTGATAATAAATTACTCAAATGAATCAAGATTCTGTGAAAAATCACATTTGGACTATAAGTATGTCATGACTGTCACTAGAAAAATTACCTTGCAGATCAAGAGCCGATCAATTAGCCCCAGCTCAACGTCTCCAAAAAGTTCTTTCAAAAAACCACTCAAACGGAATTGGTTTGCTAAAAAAGCTAAACGGAGAACACTGTACTGACCATATAGAAAGTCTAGAGGTACTGCTACAAACTCACTTTCCAGGTTCGGTAATCGTTGAAGCCTTGAACCAGGTCACTCCACCTATCGAAGGGTAACAAAGCCCCAATGGCAGGAGCAAAAGGCTGGCTGGAAAAATCTTCACAATGAACAGAATAAAATGGGCGATTGATAGCTTCAGACCCTTCAAATCTCCAGGCAAAGACGGGATCTTTCCCGCACAACTGCAAAAAGGCTACGAGTACTTAAAGGTACACCTACAAAAGCTTTTTAAGGCAAGCCTGCTCCTATGGCACATACCGCTATCTTCGAGGAAAGCTAATGTGATATTCATACCAAAAACGGGTCGTAGATGGCAAGGTTAGGTTGCCTGATAACTTTATGACGATATCTGGGGTACCTTTTCCAATGACCTCCTCCAACATAATGCAAATTGCCAGACCCCCTAGATGACATCATCAAGTTACCCATCCAAAAACCCTGAGGGCCGGTTATTAACCTTCTGATAAACTGTCAGGTATGCAATCTGACGGATAACAACGCAATCTGTAATCTCATTGGTCGGCCAGATACCCGATGACCATTAGAATTATAGAAGGCTACATTTATCTTGCAGATAGTTACCAGCAAGTTTATCTAAATCTATATGAATAAACCGGGCCTAAATCAAAGATACAAATGCCCGATAGCGAAAAAAAAAATTTGCTAAACATTGAATTATTGTTTTTCTTAAGTTAAATGCGAAATTGTTGAAAAGCGGAAGTTAGTGGGAGTTTTTTTACAAAGCGGGAGTTTTTGCTGCGATATTTCACGGCTGGAGGAATGACAAAAAAGCGGGAGTCTCCCGCCTAAATCGGGAGGGTTGGCAACCCTACCTAGGGTCACCTTGGACCGAACACTCACTTGGAACAAATAGTTAGAGAAAACATGCTCTTGAGCTACATCAGCCATCTGGTCATGCCGAAAACTTGTTGGCAAAACATGGGGGCTAAAGCCAAAGACCGTATTCTGGATTCACCAAACTATAATAAAGCCCGTGGTCATCCAGCAAGTCACCGCTCAGATGAAACTAAGAAAGGTACAAAGGCTGATATGTCTAGGAATAACGGGAGCAATGTCAACTTGTCCCACCGCAGCCCTAGAGACGCTACTCAACATGCCCCCACTTCACCTATATGTGAAAAAGGAAACAATAACCAGCGCTCACAGGCTATTCCAAATAGACAAGTTCAAGCCTGGTGATCTGAGGGGACATCTGCGCATCCTTGATTTAATAAAACTGGAGAATGTCAGCAAACCAAGTGACCACATGATGGTCAGATTGAACTTAGAGATCCCATTCGCAGTGGTAATAAACGACGGCCAATCTTGGGAGAATAAAGAATTACCACAAATTACCATAAACATCTTACAATATTTAAAGCCGAACTGCTTGCCATAGATATAATCATGTGCACAAGAGTGTCTCAACCAAAGCCTCAAAAGAAAACACATCTTCATACAATCGGACAGTCAAGCTGCCTTAAAAGCTTTAAGCCCGGTTCCAAAAAAAAAATATAGATGGCAGCGCCAAGATTCAATATTTTCAGTATTTATTTATAATATTATAGCAATTTTAATTTGGAGAATCAGTGCAACTTTTCTCACTCAGTTCGCACTGATTGCCGAATGGAAATAGCCAATTTTGCCTGGCCAACCACAATGCTCAAAGTTGACCTTGATATACTTATTTTTCCTATTTTATTTTATTTAGGAAAGAAATGGGACTTAGATGATAAGTGGTGTAGGAGCGCATATCCAAGAGGTGTAGGAGCGCATATCCGGATACCCCTCGAACATTGATTTTTATATACACTGGCCAGCAAAATTAACGCACCACTACTATTTTTGAAAAATGTTTTTTATTTCATAACATTGATCAAATATCTTTATGTCTTGATTAAATATATTCTTATTCTAACGCAATAAGGGTTTTTTTTTTTACGGATATGCGCACTCGCAAGGAAATGTCCTATCACGCTCGAGAAGCGGCAAGTGCGCGGAAATGTCGGTGTATGTTGGTCTTGAAACGGTTCAGGTTGTAACCTGCAGGGCAAACCGTCACAGGGAGTTTATTCCACAGCGATGCTGTTCTCCAGAGATATGAATTCTGATATAATGAGGTTCTTGGTGCCTCTAGTTTGACAGTAAATTCATGGTTACCGTCTGTTTGACGGGTTCGCCTGGTAGGTGCTACTCTCGGTGGAATCATACGTGCCAACTCTTCAGAGCATTTTCCGTGATAGTACCTGTAGAAGAGAGATAAATCGCCCACAGATCTGCGATGTTCGAGACCATCCAAGTTACGAGTAAGTGCGGGGTTCATTGATCAGCTTGATAGCTCGTTTTTGCACGGTGTTCAAAAGCATTAAGGTATGTTTGGGTGCTGCACTCCATATATGTGAGCAGTACTCCATAGTTGGTCGAATCTGGGCTTTGTAGAGTGTCAGCAATTGGCTTGGTGTGTACAGATGTCTTGTACGAAATAGCACCCCCAGCTTTTGGGACGCCCTTTTAGCAATATCTGCCACGTGACTGTGCCAAGACATGTTAGTCTCCGCAGTAACCCCCAAGATGTTCAACTGACTCTGTAATGTGACAGCACTTCCAGATAGCATGATGTTTGGCTCACCGGTGCTGGTCTTTTTTGAAAACAGAGCTGCTTGCAATAAGGGTATTAACAAAGGATAAAATTTCAAAAGAAGGTAAGAAAAAAAAAACAAAAAAATTCAAAAATATTTTTTTTTTTAACTTTAGTTAAAAATAATTAATAATCGGTATTTCCTTCTTTATTTTGAATAATAGCACGGCAGCGATTATTCATGTTAAAATTACGGGCCTTATCTCGTTTTAATCCAAACTATTCCATATTTGGACAATATCTCCAGTAAGCCCATTCAAAGTGTTAAGAGGGTTGGGAAGCTCTTAAAAATAGCGATAGATTATGTCCCAGATATCCTCAATTGGGTTAAAATCAGACCTTTTTGCTAGCCAATCCATAGTTTCAATTCCAACCTCAATAAAATAGAAATAAGTAAATGGTGCGTTAATTTTGCTGGCCAGTGTATATAGATTTATAGATTAGGCCTGTTCGCACAGAAATCACCAACCAGTCAGAGCGAATTTCATTGGTTGAAACTAATTTTCTGACTGTTTCTGACTGTTTCCAACCAATGAAATTCGCTCTGACTGGTTTGTGATTGCTGTGCGAACAGGCCTATTATTATTGAAGTTATCATCGTTTTTCGCTTTCAATGTGCAATGTGCGTATTACGACCTATGTCTGTCTTTGTTTATTTTTTAGTATTAGACAAAGAACAAAGAAAACCTTTCACTCGTTTGATTGGACCATCGTTGAACTTTGGACTTTGGCACAGATCAAGAAACACAGATAATAAAATATAATTCGAAATTTATTTTGAATTGGTTTGCGGGGTAATTTTTTTTGTAGCAAAGAATGCAATGTTTACATCCTTGGTGTTTACTCACAAGTTGCAAGCAATTTTTACCGGACTATTTTTTATATTTTTGGATTTTCTTTTGTGAAAGACTAGGACAATAAGTGAAAGAAAATTACCATGTTCCTAAAAAAAAATAGTAGAGTAGAGCGCAGCAAAAGCTAAGTACCGCGATTTCCTTCCTAAAAGCACAGGAAAGAAAAATAATTTCAAAAATTTGGTTTTATTACCCTACACTAATAAATTTTTATCCAACTCTACTTTTGATTACTTAGGTATGCAAAATGGTTCATTATTATATTACGTTTGGTCTTGCAAGAACATTTTTATGCAAAT